CGTCCCCGCAGTCCCGCCGGGCCGGGCCGGGCCGGGAGCGGGGGCTCTCCCGGATGTCCCCCTCCCCCGGGAAAGTTCCTGGCGCGGCTGATGTTTTTCTTCTCTCGCTGGCCCTCTCCGGTTTCCTTCGGCACGTTCCTTACTTGTCCCACCCGCTTCCCTGCGAGCACCGGGGCCTGCTCGGGGCTTGGAGACACCAGGCTCACGGGACCATGGAACAGTGCGGTGGGAAGGGACCTTTAACGGCCGTCGAGTTATAACCCCCCCACAGGCAGGGACACCTCCCACCAGACCAGGTTGCTCCAAGCCCCCTCCAACCTGCCCTTGAACCCCTCCAGGGATGGGGCAGCCACAGCTTCTCGGGGCAACCTGGGCCGGGCTCTCACCACCCTCACACCAAAGTTCTTCCCAAAATCTCACCTCAATCTCCCCTTTTTCAGCTTTAACAAATCTTCCCCCTCGTCCTATGGCTCCCCTCCCTGATCCAGAGTCCCTCCCCAGCTTTCCTGGAGCCCCTTGAGGGACTAGAAGGGGCTCCAAGGTCTTCCCGGAGCCTTCTCTTCTCCAGGTTGAACCCCCCAACTCTCTCAGCCCCCCTCCCAGCAGAGGGGCTCCAGCCCTCCCAGCATCTCCGGGGCCTCCTCTGGCCCCATCCAACAGCTCCATGTCCTTCCTGTGCCACATTCTCTCTCTCCAGACAGTTCCTCCCCGTTGCTGGTGTGGTTAACCAAGGGGGACCATGGTGACAGTGGTTATTGGACAAGAAGGCAATGGTGGTTCAAACCTGGTGTCATGTACAAAGTCCCATTCCTTGAAACACAGAATAAACCCAACATCAGAAGGATGTGGCACACACACCAGTCACACCACTGCTCCCTCGCTGACCTTGTCCCGTGCCTACCAGACAGCGCTTGTAGGAAAGGAAACCACGGGTTCTTATCGGAGCGGAAGGCAAAAGTTCAGCTGGGAACAAGTCCAAGGAATAGAAAGGCTGGAACCAAACATGGGACAGACACCACACCCCCGGTGCCTTTTCTACCTGCCGGCGTCCCGCAAGCCCCGTGGCAGCCCCATGGCAACCTCCCGTCCTCTGCGGATGCAGATCTGGCAGTTGGGCCGTGCCTGGTGGGGGAGAGCCTCTGCTGGGGGGGTCTGCTGGATTTAACAGACCTCTGCAAGCAAAACCTCTGGCCAAAGGAGGGAGATGGGCCCAACGTACACCCAAAGGGATTTCCACAAATAACTGGCCAAAAGGTTAAAAGCTGCACTCAAAACCACTGAAGGCAAGAACCTGAGCAGAAGATACATAGAGCCCGAGGATGATGAGGGTCTAAATGGGGTCACTGGAGAGATAGGACGATGGTAAAAAAGCCAAGTTTCTGCTGTGGCATTTACTCTGCAGGAAGCCCTTCTTTACAGGAGGAGAGTCCTAGGAATCGCCTCAAAACAAGGTGACAAAGAACAGATCACGTAAGGAATCAGTATTAGGAAGGGTGGCCAGTTGCCAGGCTGAGATACTTGCCCCCGAGGTTTGGAGGATTGCAGATGGGAAATGGCCAGAGAACGCACCCTGGACAGACTTGGGGCTTCTCCACACGCTCACAAACAGCCCAGGAAAGGGAGGAACAAGGAGCTGGAGGAGCTTGCTGGTGGCACCAAAGCCTTCACATGAAACCAACTGCTCGGCCTGAAGATCGACAGCGAAGCCAGGGACACAGACCATGAGCCCCACCACCGTCACGAAGGGTTACTCACCATGGTTATTCACCATTGCACACGGAGCAGAGGTTGGGATGGGTGCCCGGTGAAAAAGCCAGGCAAGAGCTGTAAAAACACATGAAGGGGAGTAATTTTTTACTGAGTGCTTCCTGGGGTGACATGTTGGTGGGTGACACGTGGTGGAATTCATTGCCACGGGGTGTTTACAGCGGCCAAAGCAGAAAAGGGTTCTAAAAGCCATTAGGCAAATTTGTGGGAGAAAAAATTGATTGAGGGCTATTAAGCACAAAGAAGCAGATGCAGCCTCTGGCTCGGGAGGGCTCGGAGCTGCCGGCTGCCAGAAGCCGAGAGGCTGCAGCTGATGAAATACCGCTGGGTCCCTGCTCTCGCTCCGGAGCCTCTCTCCTGGGATCTGCCATTAGCGAGGTGCGAGCGGGATGCGGGGACACACGGGGCCGAGAGCGGATGCTGGGGATCTGCCCTCACCCCGTCTGCTGCTCCGAGCCCCCGGGGAGGAAACGCTTTGGGTCTCCATGTGTTCTTCGTGGAACTCTGCTGCTTTTGTTCCGCCTGTGCTGGACATGTCCTGGTGGGACATTGCCATGTCCCTGGACTGGCCACACTCTGTGCTGAGGCAGCTCGTACACAAACCTTTATGGTCCTTGGGGATGTAGGAATGGCCTCCAGCAGCGTGAATTGGTGACATCCTCAGCCTCCCTGTTCAAAATCAGTCACTTGGAGTGCAGTGTTGTCAGCGTGTGATGCCCTGGACTTCTTGGGACACATTATGGGAGTGACAGGAGGTGATGCAGGATCGGTGGACATTCCCATGGCAGGGGTTGGCCTCCCCACCATCGCTGCCCCCTCATCTCCATCCACACAACGCCCCCGAAATCCCACCACCTCTCTCCTCATCCCCTCATTCTCCAATGCCTCATCCAAGTCAGAGGAAGGGTCTTCCTTCTGTGCCTTCCCTTTCTTTGCTGGGCAATGCAGAGTAGAGCTTATTTGTCTCGCCTGTTCATTTTCAGGCATGAGTCACAGGTTCTTCCATGTGCTGGTTGTGCTGACTGTCACACAACCAACAAGCAGAAGGACCCTGGTCCATCCTGGTGGCTTCCACGCTTTTGTCCTGAAGGTACCCCCCCAGAGCTGCCTGCCCTTGGCTGTGCTGTGGGGTTGAAGCCACCAGCCATTATCTGCAAGCCCAACACCAGCCATGGGCAGGGGATGCTGCCACTG